ATTAATTTAATAAATTACAAATATAATAAAGAATTTTTGCATAATATAATTAAATGAATATATATTTTTATTATATAAAACTATTGCATGACAATTTTGTTAAAAAAAAGGTAATTTTGACCCTAAAATAAAACTTAAATCATAAAACTAATTACTAAAAGTTATTATAAATATTAATTGAAAAGTAAAATTTAGGAAAAATTTCTGACATCAATAACTACTATTTTGATTTTTTACTATAAAANATATATATATATATATATATATATATATATATATATATATGGACACACCCGTGTAATGTGTACTTCAAACTCGTGTAATCAGTTTATGAAAATACTTGTGTAATTTATTTTTCTAAACTCATCTTATCAATGTATGAACAAATTTGTCTAATGTTTGTTGATAGGCTCGCCTAATCAATGTATGGACACACTGGTCTAATGAGTATTCTTAGACAATTTTAATCAATGTATAGAAGAATCATCTAATGATTTTTTTTCTAAACTCACTTAATTAGGGTACAAACAAAGTTCTCTAATCAGTGTTTGTTCAAACTTGTCTAAAGTGTATTACAAGACACATCCAATTAGTGAATGTACAAACTTATATTGTATTAATAGACTTGTCTAATTTGTGTATAGATAAACTTGTCTAATGTATATTGATAAGTCTATCTTATCAGTGTATGTTGTTGGTAGACTCGTTTAATCAGTGTTTGGACAAACTCCTCCAATGAGTATTCCTAAACTCATGTAATTAATGTATGAAATGTCTCGTTTAATGGTTTTTGCTATACTTGTCTATTGATTGTATGGACAAAGTCATTTAAAGTGTATTGTTAGACTTGTTTATTAAGTGCATTCATAGACCCATTTCATTTTTATTTGTTATAATTAATTAATTAATTAATTAATTAATTAATCAAATGACTTGTCTAATTTTTTTGCTATATTCGTCTAATTATTATATGGACAGACTCGTCTAATATATATTGCTAGACTTGTGTAATATTTTTTATTATCCTAATCTAACTAGTGTATGGACAAATTGGTCTAATGTGTATTGCAAGATCCATTTAATATTTTTTGTTATATTTGTTTAATTAATTAACAAAATTAATTATCTAATGTTTTTTGTTATATTCGTCTAATTGGTATATAGATAAACTTGTCTAATGTATATTATTAAACTTGTAAAAAAAAATTCTACATTCATCTAAAGAGTTAATGGACATAATTATTCAATGTGTATTGTTAAATTTGTTTAATATTTTTTATACTTATCTAGTATGTATTTATAGACTCATCTAATCAATGTAAGTTTGATGTATATTTTTATAGTCTTTTAATCACAATATAAATACATTAGTAATATATTTTAAGACATTTAGTTTATTAGGTTCTACCTTTTGTTTCGATCTTACTAAAATTACAAGTTGTTACATTTTAAAGTTAAAAACAATAAAAAATAAATTAAAAAATGTAAATAAAATATATAATACTAAAAAGTATGGTTGTTTTATTACAAATATATTTTTTAAAACCTTTGAAATTAAGTAAAGCAAAATAAAGGGATAAAAAGGAAAATAACTTTCATGTGCATACGACACTAAAATAAATATAAATAAATAAAATTAAAAAAATAAGATAAATGAATAAAAACTAAAATATTTTTCATGTACATTACAACAAAATAATTAATTAATAAAAAATTTTAAGACACTTGTTAACAAAATAAAATAAGTATTAAAGTAAATTTCTTAATATTTTTTATATTATAATATATTATAATAAATTATTAATAATATTATTTACATTAAATTACACATTTAACATTATTTTTGTATTTCATGATATAATTATGTTTAATATTAATTTACAAAAGTATCTGGCATGCACTACAATTATATGTTATTTTTTAAAATTAAAATTAAAATTATATCACATTTCATTAAAAGTATAGAAATTATAGGTATTTTTAAATTAAATTAAACTTTTTTATTATTATTGGTAGCAGTATATTTCTATTTAAATTACATCATATTTTTTTAAAGCTTTTAAATCGCTTTATTGTTTTTAATATGTCAGAACCATTCAAATCCACGCACGTATCGTCTTAGTGGATTCCATGTGTCACGTGAGGGGTTCGACACTCAGATGGGTGAAGGCAGGTGTTAGCAACTGAGTGGACGTCCGTTTTGATGTTGGAAGGAAAAGCTCTGATTTTCAGAAATTCACGTCACACTCTCTGCATGCACCCTTCTTCCCAGATTTCTGAAAATCTCCAATCTCTCCTCCTTCTTTCTACATCTCCTCATCTTCTCTCTAAGAAAGCCTCACCGTTTCTTCCTCCGATCATCACTCAGGCACCATTTCCACTCTCCCGGTGTCAAGAGCTTTCGATTGAACCGATCGGTTTGTGAAGCTGAGCTGGTAAGTTCTTTTCTTCACTCAGTCGTACGATTCCTGGACATGCAAACCAAGTTCTGGTTTCATGTGTTGGTTGCTCTTCTAAATTTATAGTTCTGATAGTGTTTTGATTTGACTTGGTTTAGTTTTGGAGAATTGTTGAGCGTTGAGGGTAGAAGGATTCTTAGAGGTGAATCAGTGGTCCTATTTGTGAACGTTCACTCACATCAGAGGTAAGGGGAGCTTATTTAATTTGATTTGTATGTTTGTTTGGAATGTGTGTACGTTTGTTGAATTTCTGAATTAATATGAAATATGATTGTTTCTATGTTTTGAGTGTATGAAGTATGTGAATTTACTATGATATGGATGTATGAAATTATGTAGATAAATATTGAGAAATGAATTGAGATAAATGATTTCTAAGTATGAAATTTTCTTAAGATAATGTATGTTCGTTACTGAATGGTCTTTGACCGTTCGGTTTTTCTCGGGGACTCGTTTAGAACTGAACTCTTTCATTTAGAAGGAGTTTATGGTGAGGACGAGCGTCTTCGTCTAGTACAATTGGTGTACAGGCGTTCCACCAAGGATATTTTTCCTTGGCATTTTGATATATAAATCTAAGTATGTCTATAGGTAGTAGTATGTTCGTTCGTTCTTGAAAATTAATTAAATAATATCTTATATCTTCCAAGCGTTCGTACGATTTAGTGCGAGGTCTTTCACCAAGCGATCATACTATTTACTCATAGGTCTTTCATCAAGCGCTCGTATGATTTAGAGCTAGGTCCTTCACCAAGCGCTCGTACTATTTAGTGTTGGGTCTTACACCAAGCGCTCATTCTCTTTTCTATAATCTATCTTGATGAAAATAACGTTCGTCCAAATTCAATAAAGTTCTCTCTCTACCGTGCTTGGTCATTGACTGACATTCGGTTTTCTTGATGTTAAACTCAAATAAGCTAAGTATTTATAAGCGTTCAGTTTCTTCATGTGATTCTTTTAAGTATTATTCTTTGAATGTTTTGAAGTGTCTGTATCCATTGGTTTCAGCCTAGAGTCTTAGTACTTGGCATGGGCTTTTCGGTGTTCGATTTGAGCTCTCAAGAGTCAATTCATTTAATTGGCTCACTTTGTAAATAACATTCGTTCTATTCGTTCTTGTAATATGTGATTGTACTCGGTTTCTTTCTCAACCCGATAGTAACCTTCTCGGTCTTAATCTGTTCTAGAACTGGAGACCTCTCGGTCTCACTCCAAGTGTTCGGTCTCGTTCTGAGTTGGGGGTGAACGTTCGGTATTTGGTATCCTAAGGGATCTTTGTTAAAAATTGAAGTTTGAAAATAAAAGATGATGGAATATGATGTAGATGAAATGAGTATGATTATGAACAAGTATTCCGGGGAGGAATATCTCATGAATGGATATTGGAATTTGGTAAAGTATGAATGTGGGCATGCTAAGCTGGCTGTTCATCCTGATGTTCCGTGATTACTCGTCCTCACGTAGAGGAGGGTATCTCAGTTACTACATCACCCGGGTGCACGAACGTCGTAGCTACACATAATTCATACAGTCCGGACAGTCAGTCTAGTATTAGGCTTTGCATGAGCGAGTGATGAATTATCTTGTTTGGTTGATTGTGTGAAATATATGTTTATACATGAATTGAATTACATAAGTTTACCCTATGTCTTTCTGTCTTGTCTATTTTGTACGTTCGGTTGTCTTTCTGTTGCAATGATATCCATGTGGACGTGAGCAGAAGGAGACGAGCTGTTGGAAGAAGCTCTGGAAGAAGAAAACTTAGTCGAGGTAGGAGTTAAGACCGAACAGTAGAATCGTTCGGTCAGTAGTATAGTTTGATAGTAAGGTGATCGTTCGATGACATTTTCCCTGTTCTTTTGTATGACCGTCCGGTGTGGACTTTTGTAAACCGTTCGGTCAGAATTGCTTATCTTGTATAATTTAAGTTTTTAGTTCTTTCTGTAAGGCCGTTCGGCCACAAGCATACTTCTCTATTAATGTAAGATTGAGCTGTAATATTATTAAATGTGATTATTCTATTATATAGTTTTAGACTGTATTTTTGGGATGTTACATAATACAGCTGTTATAATTATAAAAATAAATTCAAACGTAATCAAAGTTAACTATTATTTTATATTTTACATTAATTTAATAAATTACAAATATAATAAAGAATTTTTGCATAATATAATTAAATGAATATATATTTTTATTATATAAAACTATTGCATGACAATTTTGTTAAAAAAAAGGTAATTTTGACCCTAAAATAAAACTTAAATCATAAAACTAATTACTAAAAGTTATTATAAATATTAATTGAAAAGTAAAATTTAGGAAAAATTTCTGACATCAATAACTACTATTTTGATTTTTTACTATAAAAATACAATATTCCTAACAAATTTTCTTTTTTTTTGTGTAGAAAAAATGAGAGTGAAAAATAATGTTGATGGTACAAATTTTTGGAGTTAAAGTATCATTTATTTCAAAATTCATTATGCATGAACATTTGTTACAAGAGTGGTGCCTAAGAAGGACCCTCCCCTAGAAAAACACACTGGTTGGTCATACTGCAGTTTTATATTAGTTTTTATGTGTTGCTCATCACACTAAACACTCACATTTCACAAGTTGTTTTCTACCTGCTACAATCCATGGCTTCCGTAGTTCAATCTTCTTGGCAGGTTCTATTTCACCCCATTGTTCCAGTTTCATCTCTGATTGCTTTTACAATCTTCAAAAGTTGGTTTTTTGTTAATCTTGGTTCACAATCAAATTTTGAACTAGTGTTTGATGCTTGGGCACTTTGCATGTTGTTGTGATTGCAGTTTTTGATCACACATTTTAGCGAATTTCAATTGGCCTGTCTGGGTACTTTCTTTCTGCATGAAGGTGTTTTCTTTTTGTCTGGACTTCCTTGTATGATGTTGGAAAGGTCAAGGTGGCTCAGCAAGTATAAGATTCAGGTTTCACCTTATTCTTCTTCTGTCTTTGACAATTGGATTTGAGGACATGTTTCACTGGATCAAATGTTGTCCTTGTTAACTGTTTTTCTTGGTTGGAAAATCAATTTGTATTCACTTGATATGGTTTTATTTGAGAGTTGCAACAGATTTCCCAATGTCTTTTCATCTTCTTTGTTTCTATGTCCTGCATGATGAAGATTTCAAAGGTTTGAGAGAAAAATACAATTTTTATTGTGGATCCAACCGGGTGGGCCTTATTTGATAAAGATGAGTTTTTCCTTTCTCTTCATCAGAATCATATGTTGTTCAAGAACAAAAAAAGGATCCAAATGCCCTCTGGCTGACCATTCACATTTATGTCTTTTCTTCCTTCTCTTTATGCTCTGAATGGAAAGGATTCAAAGAATCTCTTGCAGCACTTGCAAGTTTGATTTCTGCTATGTTTAAATTATTGCATTGACTGAAATCTCCCAATGCCAGTACATGCAGAAAATTTCTTAATTTCTTCTTTTTCTATATATATCAAATTATTTACCATGGAGAAAGATAGAGTTTCTTCACTTCTCTTTTCCTCTTTTGTTTTCACTCTTTATTAGAAGACTGAGTTTTGCTTTAAAAAATTGTACTAAAAGCACGGAATTTAACATAATTGTACATAAAACAGGCAACAATAGAGTTTTCAGCAGGTCTTTGTAATAAAATTAATATTGAAAACCAGTTGTATAATTAATCACGAAATTAGAGAATAAAAAAAAAAAAAAAAAAAGACGTTTCCTCAAAATATGTTCTTTCCTGTTTTATAATAATCACTTTTTTTTTTCTCAATTCAAATATGACAACCAATATGTTGCTTAGTAATCATCTTTTTCTTTTGTATTTCCACCATTTTGAAGCTTGGCCGTCTCATAGTGTATTTGGAAAGCTTTCAGCCATAAATCACATCCTTGATGTGAAAAATGTAAAAGCCAGAACCATTTTGATTTGAAAAGAGTAGAAGCTAGAACTACTAGTTTCTATTTTGATGTGAAAATTGGTGTTCCTGATTCACTTCCACGCAGTTTGTTAAATATATATAGCTATTAATGCTTCTTTCATGCAGGCAAAAAATAATAGCCCTGCAGCTCAGAAAAAATGTATCAGTGGTTTAATGCTGTACCATTTTGGTGTCAATCTACCTGTTATGATCATTTCTTATCCTTTACTTAAGCGCATGGGTATGCAGATCAGTCTTCCATTGCCATCTTGGTACTTCATGAATTCTTTTAGTGATCATAATAACAATAATAATAAAGTAATTTTTTAGCAACATGATAGAAAGCTATTGATATGAACATTTATAAATTTCTTTTAAGTAGACATGAAAATATTTTGTTTTTGGTTTTGCAGGAAAATCATTTTAACCCAAATAATCTTCTACTTCATATTGGAGGATTTTGTATTCTACTGGGGACACAGGATATTGCATACCAAATGGTTGTACAAAAATGTGCACAGTGTTCACCATGAGTAAGTACTATGCATATTCTGGATTTGATTTTCATTTGTTCCTTTGAAAGTTTTGCTCACAGTTCCAAGATGTTTTTTCCATGTTGTGAAGATATGCTACACCATTTGGACTTACTTCTGAATATGGTTTGATTTTCATTTGTTCCTTTGAAAGTTTTGCTCACAGTTCCAAGATGTTTTTTCCATGTTGTGAAGATATGCTACACCATTTGGACTTACTTCTGAATATGGTTTGATTTTCATTTGTTCCTTTGAAAGTTTTGCTCACAGTTCCAAGATGTTTTTTCCATGTTGTGAAGATATGCTACACCATTTGGACTTACTTCTGAATATGCTCATCCTGCTGAGATACTTTTTCTTGGATTTGCTACCATTATTGGTCCTGTTCTCACTGGTCCTCACTTAATGACTCTCTGGACATGGATGAGTTTGAGAGTCCTGGAGACAGTTGAGGTGCATTGTGGCTACCATTTTCCATGGAGTCTTTCAAATTTCATTCCATTATATGGGGGGTGAGTGTGATACTCCTTTCCCTTGACATCATGCACTGGATTTATTCCATTATAGTTCTTATAATCTTCATTTTCAGAGCTGATTTCCATGACTATCATCACCGGTTGCTGTATACCAAATCTGGAAACTACTCCTCAACCTTTACATACATGGACTGGTATGTCTTCTTCCACTATGAAAGTATTAGCCTTTTTGGTCTTATAAGAATAGAGCTAAAATGATAGGAGATAGAAGATATTGTATTACTTAGCCAATCAAGCTGCATAAGTTGTACATGTTTGCACAAGAGTAATTCATTCCCTTGAACAAAAATAGTGTTCCCGAATGTTTAGTAACTCAATACATTTTGTTTTCTAATTGTTTGTCTAACATTTGGTTAAGATTTGAGATGGCCTAACCCATATTTTCATGCATTCTTTGAACTAAGCTTTTCTTTTAAGATGTTCACTAGTAATGGTGACAATGGTATATAAAATTTTGTTGTTTTCTGTGTACAGGATTTTCGGAACTGATACAGGGTACAAAAACTTGAAGGCATCCAAGAAAGCAGAAGCTGAAAGCAGTAGCCATCAAAAGAAACAGCATTGAGGTACAAATGTTCTTGGGAGTATGCAGAAAGTGTTGATATCCAACTAAAGGCATAATATCATTGTCATACTGTACTTGGTTTTTTGCTGTTCTGGTGTGCATAGTTCAAAGGTTTTCTTTCAAGACATATAACTTGTTTTTCAGACCAATATAATAAAGTCATTGTCTTCAATGGTTCATTTTATGCATAAGACTTAACCTTTCAATTGATTTGCAAACTGAATACAGTGTTTATATAAAACATTTGATAATCTTAAATGATAAAAGATACCGTGTGATTTCGGGTGTCTATATGTTTAGTTATATTTGGAGAAATTAGTTTCAAGTTAAAATATTTCAGGAATCTTGTAAGCTGAATACAATTTTTATAATGAGTTTTTCTGTTAGTTTGTTTTTAAAATAAATACATTTAAAAATAAATTACTTCTTTCTAACATCAAGGTTAAAATATACCTTATTGAACTAAAATTTGGATTTGTTTCTTTATTTTTTAACAGATTTATTATAATTTTAAACGCATTTATACTTTTATCTTTTAAAAGAAAAGCTGATGTTGCCTTTATGAAAAAGTAAATATTGATCATCTTATGCAGTTTTTACTCTGTTGAATATTTGAAACTTGTTTCATTAAATTACTTTATTTAACTCAAGTTGTACTTCAAAATAAACTTAAAGTCATAAACACAGAATTCTCTTTTAATTTTAATTAGAGAAAATAACGGAAAAGAAAAGTTAAGTTTTTTAATATGGAAATATTTAGTTAAACACTTGAGTTTTTTTTTTCATACTAAAGTTATTTTTTTTTCTGAAGTTATTTTTTATTACTATTCAAATGAAAATTCAGATGAAATAAATTAAATTTATTGCATTTAAAGCAATTGAAAAGCTAGTTAATATTTCATTAAATATTTTATTTTAATGATTATAAATAAATATTATTGCATATGCATGGGTACGGTATAATAGATTTAAATATTAATATAAACTTTATTTTTTATTGATAAGTTCGACCTTTCATTTATTTATTATTTTCTTTTCATCCATATTTAATTTATCAAATACTTAATAACATTAAATATTATATTAATTAAATTAAATGTAATACAAAATCAGCTTAAGAAATTATTAAAAATCTTAAAGTTAACATTAGACGACTTAATATGCACTTAAATATTATATTTATTGTACACTTTAAAAAATTCATCATGTATATTATATATTAACTTTATGATTATTTATTTATTGAAAATTTAAGTGTAAGTAGAAATACGAATGTTAAATATTATATAGAAATTTCATAAAACTATTAAGATTTTGTGTTTAAGTAATATATTTTCTTGTATTATTTGACTTATATTTCATTAATTTGTATCTTCTATCAATAAATCCATCACTTTCACACTCCACTTCTTCTGCTAATTGATATGTATCTTCTATCAATAAATCCATCATGATATAAAAAAATATAAGAAAAAAAGAGAAGGATCAAAACAAATTATTCAACACTCCCCTTCTGCTAATTGATTTGTATCTTCTATTGATAAATCCATCATGATATAAAAAAAATATAAGAAAAAGAGAAGGTCACAAAAAATGATTATAGAAAGAAAGTATTGTATATCCAAAGAAAAGGAAAAACAAGATGGTATAAGATACAAAATGTAACAATGAAAGAAAAAAAAATCGAATATGAAAGAGTTAAGCCACAATACACCCTTCGATCATATAAAGAGCTCGACTCTATGAGTAACTAAACCATAGGAAGAACTCGATAATATGGACGTCTTAGCCACAACACATAGCTTGACAACTTTGAAGAACTCGATTAAAAGAAAAGCTTGACAACTCTACAATAACTTGACCATAACTTAGAGACAACTCGTAACAATTCGACCATAGCTTAACTCGACAACACTACAATGGCTCAACAACGACTAAGTACAACTCGACAACTATGCAACAATTCAACCACAATTTAGAAACAACTCAACAACACTACAACAACTCAACAACACAAGATTATGAACTTATTATATACAATGTAATTGTAACGATTCCATTATCAACTTTAACAAAAACATTTGCATATTACTCCACATATGTTACATATATTTAATATTTACATGTATAAATAATTACGATTATCACTTTTGATTTTAAATTACGTTAATCTAATCAAATCAAAGTTTATAATAAAACTAGAAGATATTAATATCTATTTTACAAGATTCAGATAACAAATGAAAATGGTAATAAACTATATGGAGAGTTGACTTATAACTATAATTGTTTTTATCAAATGTTTCTAGTAACTAACCTTGTTCGTAAAATTTTGTTGTAACAATTTTTTACCACTAAAAGATTATCCCTACATATAGACTCAAGGTATCTAACCAAAGCAACTTGTTAAATTTTTTTTCAACTAATTCGAATGCTGTTAACAAATTATCTTGTATGTCACCAAAGTAATTCACATGATAATTATTTCAATTAATAAATTAACAAGAAAATAATTTTTATATGAATATTTCATTTAAGATACATAGATTTTAATTATTTTAAATTTTTTTGAACATAGCACAACAAAATACTTGTATTGTCAACATACACTTCTTTAATACACTCTGTCAAGGATTATAAGTTTGGAATTTTTGGGAGTGATTAAAATTTGGGGTGTTGCTCCCTCCACCCCCACACATCTCTTCCTCCACCTCCCCTTTACTATTTTGCCCCTTCCTCCACCTTTCCTTTACTATTTTGCCCCTCATTAAAATTTTATTTTTAAAATTATTGTTTTTTAATTTTATTCATTTATATCATATTTCACTGATAACCTGATAACCTACGTAGTTCCTTGTATGAGTAAAATATTTTTCTGCAAAGCTTGGTAATCGTGAAAAGAATTATCAAGCAATCTTCCTCTTGTTCTCGGTGCACTACGTGGTGCAGTGCGTTTGTGGTGTAGTGTCCTTGTCGTAGTTCCTCTCCAGGTACGTAGTCATAATCCTTCCAATAATCCTAAACCTTAAACCCTTCCCATACTTCCAATAATCCTTTTAATATCTAAGCCTATAATCCTTGCATGAGCCGTAAAACGTAGTAAAATAAAAACGAAACGTAAAAGGAACACTGTCTCTGGACGGATGACATCCTTCAACGGATGTCAACATCCGTTTAAGGCGAAACGGATGTCGACATCCGTTTTGCCTTAAACGGATGTTGACATCCGTTGAAGGATGTCATCGTCCAGGAGTATTGTTCCCTACCACCAAGTTTAAAATATTAATCCTTAAAGATCTCCAATCCGTTAACGGATCTCAACATCCGTTAACAGATTTCAATGGAGGTAAATTTATTATAGAAAGAGGTGCCACCAGACACTAGTCACGGGACCACGGCCTCTTATTACAACCCCTCACCCAGTGGCTTCTCTGCTCATTAATTTTATTCTTCCCGCTAATTAGTCTACCTACGTAGTTTGGCCATGAAATAAATTAAGCTCCAACATTATGGAACCTCGTAAAGCCAATTTCTTGTTTGTTTCAAATTTTTTTTCGCAAGCTTGGAAGAAAACACCTGCAAGATTGAGACTTGTACTTATTTCTTGTACTCCAAAAATTATACCCCCATTTTCTAGTTGACAGCAACTCCAATTGTGTCACACTAACTTGTATTTTATTTACAGTAATTTATATTTAAATTTATAATTTTAAATGTTATATATGATTAGTTTTTAAACGTTGATGGAGGCTTGACGGAAGAGAAAATGATAAACGGTGAAGAAGAAGCTTGACGGAAGAGAGAAAGGTAAACAGAAATGGAAGAGAGGAAGAGGTGCAGAGGGAAGTAAATCAGAATTTTAAATAAATAAAATATTAAAATAATAAAAATAAAAAATTTTAAATTTTGAGGATATAATTGTCATTTTAGAAGGATATAATTGGCATTTTAGAAAATTGGGGAGGTGGAGGAAGAGATGTGTGGGGGTGGAGGGAGCAACACCCTAAAATTTGAGTGTAAATTAGAAAGCCCAGTCCAACTGTATAATTCAAAGAGAAATGCTGGGTCAGGTAAAGCGTTTTTTCCACAACATAGTAATAACAACAAACATACTGTTAACTGTACTTCTCTATCAACACCCTTGTTTTACTAAGTTAAATCAGTATCCCATTGTTCAAACAACCCACACTACAATAATTAAACTTTATTTTCTACTAAAATAATATATTTTCGATTTTTCAGTATGATAATTCCTGCATCTTTCGATTTTGCTTCGTGGTTTTCCCAATCATTATATTAATCAAGTATAATTAAGAGTAAGGAGGACAAAGCGGATATCGACACCAAATTAATCCGATTTAAAGGTGGATTAGGTAGACTGTTTTTTTAAAAATTAACATAAAAATAAAAATAATTTAAAAAAATATTGTTTTTATTATATTATTTAAACATGTAAGAATATAATAATGTTGTAAATTAAATCATTAACATTGGTAAATTAAGTTTTAATAAATGTTCATAATAAAGTAATATAATGTAAAATAAATAGTTATTTTAATTTATTCACATAAAATATTAATTAATTAATTAAATATTTATAAAATATGTTTATGATTAAGTATGTTATATATGTACACACACACACACAAACACATATAGATATTATATATATATATATATATATATATATATATTATACAAACGAAATTTAGAAAAATTAAAATTAAGAAAAGAAATAGCTGAAGTATTCAACTAACTTGTTGACTCGTGTTTTGATGAAACCGGTCAAGATTTCAAGCTTTTCATGTTTCATTTTGAACGGGCTAAATAAACTAATCTATTTTACCACTCTTACGAAGAACTGAACACATTAAAAACCTATAATGTAAAATAGTAAAATAATTATTGTGTTAACATTAGTACATTTTTTAGTAAAATTCAACAAGATATTTTAAATAAAGTCTGGAATTATATTTAGATAGAAGAAAAAAACAGGTAAGAAAAGTTTGTCTTGTCAGAGCTCATAAGTAAAATTTATTAACGAAAGAAATTATTAGAATATTTTTCTGATAAAGTTTTGGTGATATTTTTTTACTTATTTGTTTTAAATTAATATATAAATGAATATATGGATTGAATATCCTGGCGGAGAGATGGTTGCATCTGTGTGTC